TCACTCGTCACCATAGCAAAGGCAAAGCAAACACCAGTTTCCCTAGAAACTGTGGGTGGCAGGGCATGTTGACTTTAAGGGAGGGAGAGGATCCCACACAGGACAGTCCTGGGTGCAGATGGGTGAGTGTGCTGCAGGCAGGGAGAGGGGATAGGACAAGTCCCCACACAGGGTCCAGTGTGGCCAGAGTAGGTCAGGGACCCCCAGGAGAGACTCCCACAGCTCCTATCTTGCCTTGCTTAGTGCAGCAGCAAAGACTGCCTTGAGGCAGAGAGGGCTGAGTCCCTGTGATTGGGTGGCCCAGTCAGGGCACAGATTCATTCAGCGCAGCTGGTCACTGACTCCAGCCTGGGTGGAGTGATGCAGACCAGTTGGTACCCAAGGGTTGGGCTTGCTGCTGCTGAGGCACACCTCCGCTTTGCATTCAGAGCCCCCAGAAAGCAGGAGAATTCTGGCAGAGGCCCTTGGACTTCCTTCCCCAGGGCTGGGGGTGGGGGGCAGCTGCTGCTGCAGCCCTCAGCTCATGTGTGGCCTTGGGTGCTGTTTCTGGCTCCTGCCAGAAACCAGCTGTCTTAGAGATGGAACCTCAGAACTGTTCAGCCCCATCTATTTATAACCACACAAGTTCCTCCAGGGAAAAGGGAGTAACTGGTGCTGGGGAAAATGAACCTGAAGAAGGCATTGCCCAGCAGTGCACACTTGTTGCAATGTACACCAACCACATACCGGGCTGCATGAGTAAGGGTGCAGTCAGCAAGCTGAGTGAAATGGTTATTACCCTTTATGTAGCACTTGTGAGGCTGTATCTGGAGTACTGTGTCCAGTTTGGGTCTCTCACTGCAACAGAGCTTGATGAAGTGGACCAAGTCCAGCAGAGGGGCCACTGAGACAGTTGGGGGCTGTTTGGAGCATGTCACCAGGAGAGACTGAGGCACCTGCCCAGCCATGAGAAGAAAGGCTAAGGGGGATCCAGTTGCTCTTGTCTACTAAGTAAATGGATGTTATAGAGAAGATGGGACCAGGTTTTCCTTACAGGTGCACACTGAAAGGACAAGGGGTGACAGAAAAGTCACAATAAGGGAAATTCTGTTTAGACACATGTTTGAAAAAAATCACAATGAGAGTGATCAGACACCAGCACAGGAGCCCTGAGAAATTGTGGGCTCTCCACCTTTGGAGATACTCAGAGCTTACCTGGACAAGGCCCTGACAACCTGGGCTAGCTCTGAGGTGAGCCCTGTTCAGGGCAGAAGCTGGACTAGACCTCTCCAGAGGTCCCATCTGACCAAAACCTTTGTGTGACTCTGTAACTCTGGAAATGAGGAGTAACCCTGTGGCATCTCAGAACCACCGGCTCTCTCTGCATGTTGGAGCTTACTCTTTGAAGGGAGCTTGGGGCAGAATAAATCAAGAGGCATCCCACGTGTTGCCCACACATGACCTACACACTGGCAGCTTTTAGATCTCATGTTTGTCTCTAAGACACTGCAAAGCCAGACCCTCCCTGAGGAGTGTGTGTCGAGAACAGTGTAAGCTAAGCAACCTGCCTGGCCAGGTGGAAATGTAGGGGGGGTTGATGCTCTGATGCTGCCACTTGCTCCTCCAGGTGTTGGTCCCTCTAGGTGCTGCTCACAGGCTGTAGCGCAGCTACATGTGGTGCCTGAAGGAGTTCACCTGGCCTGTATCAGGCCCAGGAAAACGGGAGGTGTTTCTGCTCTTCAGCTATGACTGTTTCTGGTACAGTGTGATGAGATACACTGAAACCTACAGTATGGGGTTTGTATGGGAGCAGGTGACTACTGTCATTGGGGACTGGACGCATCATCTGTACCATCAGCCCTGCTGTGGGGACCGTCACCTTTGGCAAAGGGACACCACGCACACTTAGGCCAACAGTTGCCACATCTGAGATATGGCCCTGTGAGTCTGTTCTATGGGGAGCAGATCTGATTAAAGTGATCCCCTGGCCCAGTGAGCCTGCAGAGAGTGGGTGCACGAGGCTGTGCCAGCCTCCTCACCAGCCCCAGTTACTCAGGCACAGCCTGAGTCACCATTTGACATTGCTCTGTGTTGAATACTGAAACAAGGAGGGGACAGATGGCAGCAGAAGGAATGTCTGAGGGAGGGAGGCAGGGGTGTCTGCCAGTGACCCATCACATATATGGAACAGGCCAGAGGGGATGCAGCTTTTCAACACTTGCTTCAGAAAAGGCTGGGGGGGTTGCAAGGGGTGCTCTATGTTTAAAAGGGGCTCTCAAGGCATTGTAAGTTCCCCATCACATGCAACTGCCTCCTGACACCACAGGACACCAATGTTTGCTTTCTTGGTCTGTGATCAGACTGGCAGGCATGGGAGCTGGGCGTGTTCTCCAACACCTCTGCCTCCAGACAGGAGGACACAACCCAGCCGCAGCCTCGACGACTGGCAGCAGCATGCTCTTCCTTACCTACAACCAGTCCCCAGCATCTTGTGACCCAGCTGAAAGAGGGGGACTCATTTATCACCCCTGTGCCACAGCACGGGCTCCAGAGCTTGTGGGGAGATGGTGAATCCCTCTCAAAGAAACACTGTTTGGGGAGGGCGGTGCCAGCACCAGCTGCCAAAAGGGGACATTTTTTTGACAAGCTGGGGAGCATTTGGGAGGTGAGCACATTAGGGTCATTCCCAGGTCCTGGTATGACTGGCCTGGGTCTGTGCCCTGAGGGTTTACTGTATCTTCCGTGTCCATGCCTGGCTGGGCCCGTGGAGCCCTACAGCCCTGGGAAGCCTCCAGTATGGTGACCCAGAAGGTCCTGGGTCTGAGTGATGCCTCTGCCTTTCTTTGCCCTTTTCCCATGACATTCCTGACCTGAAGTTCATCTGAGTTTGTCCTGCCTACTGATAAACCTGGCTGCTTTCATAATCCAGGTGTGCTCCACGCCAACTATTCTCCAGTGTGTACATTTCTGGTGCTCTGGTCTCCTTGAACAGGGAGAGAAGGGACCAGAAACCAGAGGGCCCTGCAGGCAGCGGACCTGCAGCTCCCACCAGCAAAGGTGATCTTTGCAGGAGAGAGGGTAGGGATGAGCTTTACCGGGTTTACTGGCCTTCCCGTGAGCAGATTTTAAGAAAAATCAGCACAAGGTCCAGGAAACCTTCCTGACTCCTCCACTCACTTGTTTATTTTGGGTCTAGACTGTCTTGTCCCAACAGTTTAGGATTTCCCTGGGATGTGTGTGTGTTTGTGTGTGTGACTAAGTGGCTGACCGATTTGGTTTAAGCTCGGTTTTAAGGAAAAATGAAACTGCTGCTTTCCCAAAAGCCTCTCCTGAGGTGTGAGAAATGTACAGAGCAGCACCACCCATTTCTCACCAGCACAAATTTCCACAGAAATTTGTATTTAATTTAATTTATTTTATTTGTTTAATTTAGCATTTAAATCAGCCCTCACCTAAAGCTGCCTTAATATTGAACAAGTACAAAATAATTCTGGGCAGATTAGTATTTGTGTCATTACAGAGGTTTAAAGAAATTACTCTAAATGGCACTGTAAATCCATGGAAGAATATTCTCACCCTTTGCCAAGCAGCCTGCACACTAACAACCAAGTAATCAAGAAAATCGCTGTGCCCTGAATCGATGGGAGTGCATATGGTGTCTCTCATCTCTCCTACTTCTGCTGCCACTGGGGCCAAGGTGCATTTGGGATGCACTTTCTGGTCTGTGGCAGTCAGTGAAGTAGTTGATAAGTGCTTGGCATGTGGAAAACACGCACGGTAAGAGCACACTTTTCTCTTATTTCTCCTGTTAGCCTGTCTCTCTGTTCTACCAGACTCCACTGAAGTGGGGGAGCTGGCTCTGTTTTAACACATTTTTGGCTCCTCCTGGGACATACTCTAGCTACATTTAAGCCATTAATGGCACCACATCAGCCTGAAAACCTAAATTATTGAAAGTTTGGTATTGTTTCAAGCGCATCTCTCCTACCTTCAGTCTGCAAGTCACCAACTTGTGTCAGTCATGGCTTCACATACCCCCTTTGCAAGTGGCTCCCCAATGTTACATTAATATTCTCAAGTTTGTTCTCCCATCCTCTGTGTTACACGTGTGAAACTGTGTAGGTGGAGGAGAGAGGAGAAGGGGAGGGTAAGCATCATTTCCACCTTAAATTTACTAGAAAAAAGCAAGATGTCCTGTGATGCATTTCAAACCAATGGTTTCTTATGCTAAGGGATTCAGAAGACCCAAATGCCCCCGTGTTATCCTTCAATGCTGGTAGGCAGAGTGGGGAAGGTCCAGCCTGGCATATTCTAGACAGCACTGTGCCTGAGGAAGGGGGTTTGCTTGCCAGGAGCATATGGATATGTGGTAGCATAACATACCATGTAAAAACTCATGGGAGAGGAAGCCTCTAAAATGGGACATTGCAGCCTCATACTATCATAAAAATAAATCATCACCATCATCATCATCACCATCACTATCAGCATTATTTTGCTTTGATATTGTTTCAGCTTTCAAATAAAAATATTGCATGTGTTCAGAACATCAGAAAGACATATTTTTACAAGCTGAATTAAATACCTACAAGTTCTTTTCCTATTGTTGATTATGCAAGTACCCAGCAAGGCACAAGCACATAAATACAGGAATATAGATGCAGCAGACACAGACACATGCACTGATGCAAAGATCACATCCTTCCTCCTGCATTTGTTTGCTGTGGCTTGGGTTTATTTCTTAATTTCTTAAGCACTTCTAACATTGAATCAGCTTTCTTTTTGTTCCAGAAAAGTAGCATGGAACAACTACTAGCCCTCTTCCGTACCCTCAAGCAGCTGATCTCTGGTCCACAGTGACTGCTTTGAAGAAGCCAGCATCTCTTTGCCATTTTTTCCCTAGCTGCAATCTCCCAGGTGGCCCACTCCAACCCATGGAAAGCTGTTGCTGTCACCCTATCAGCCATCAGAGGAATCACATTCCCTAGGAAGGACACCAGTCTCTCGTAATCAGGCTGTTTGGGATTTTATTAATTAAATATTCCACATACAAAGTACTAAATAAATATATAGCTGTGTCAGACACCAGTGTACCGTACACACCCACTTGGAGAGCTCTATGTATTTATATATGAAATATCATGGAAAACTATTTACCAAATGCAAAGCAGGCTATGGAATGATTCAACTCTGCAGACTCATTGCTCATCGCCAGGGTGCAGTCCACATGGCACACACACACATGCACACACACACACACTCGTGCTCACTCACTCCTGGGAAGAAGGGCATCCACCCTCCGTAACCTGGCTGCTTGGGAAATGCTTGTGTTAATGCCACAGACACACTTGGGAGGAGGTAGAGCTCCAAGGTGTGCGGGATTAAATCCCACCAGAGTATTGCAAGCAGCTCATGGAAGAGGCTTTGTCTGCAGGGATCTGCAGCCTGAGGTGGCAAGGGTGGGGAGGGAGAGTGTGTGGGGTTGGGCAGGCACCCTGGGGGGCTCAGCTCAGGTGTGTGGTCAGGAGTCAGAGCTAGGAGGGAGGCTGATGTTAGAGCACAAATCAGAAAATGTGTCGGGGTAAATAGGTGTAGGAGTTTTTATGTCTTGAAATTTTCTTCCCTGTCTCCACTGAGGTCTCTAGTTGATGAAGAAGGGGTTGAAAGTGAACATGAAGAATAAAAAAAGAATACTCTTTCCCTCTCTCTCTCTCTGTCTCTTCTGCACTGATCTCTGGAGGAGAGCCAGGCAGGGCTGGAAGTGAGCACAAAACTAATGGTGAGTAGATAAGGGTGTCCTTGGTAGTACCTGAAATGTGTTTACGGTGGGGGGGGGGGGGGGGGGCGGGGCAGGAGTGGTGATGTGTAGGGCTGATGCTCCTGCTCCTGACTCTCCTTCTGTCAGACGTGGGGCACAGGCATCCCTGCAAGCTGATCAAAGAGAGTCCTGTCTGGGGCAGAGACAGTCGCAGACCCAGCTGATGATCTTCCTGCTGCTCTAGCCCTACAGCATTCCTGCTGAAAATAGGCCAGGACAGGCTCTTCCCAGCACGTTCCTCTGTCAGAAGAGATGAGCTACATCCCATGGAGAACCAGAATGAGCAGGGACAGGATGGCCAGAGCAGTGTCTGAAAGCTGTGTTTGAGGATTGAGGCAGGGCTACAAGGGTGCCTGTGTGGGGAAAAGAGAACACCTCTCTTCTTTTGCCAGTGAGGGTTGACTGTCTCTTCTGCAGGATCAACTCAGTTGACATTACATGGCCCATTCCCCACACCTCTGCTGACGGGCGCTTAGTCTTTGCTCACTGTGGAGCTGCTACATGGAGCTTTTCCCACCAGTGTAGTCATGGTATGGGCTTGTCCGGGCCTTGGGCCTTGGGATGGAGAAATCGTTTTGGGGTTTGATGGTCTGAAAAGGAAGTATGAAAATCTTTACCCTTCAAAACTGGAGGAAAGTAATAGATTAGGGTTTAAAAAAACCCAACCCAACCCAACCCAACCCAACCCAACCCAACCCAACCCAAACCAAACCAAAACAAAACAAAACAAAACAAAAGAGGGGAGGGAGAAACAGAGCTGAAGGTTTCCTGAGAGTGTGATCAACGGGCCTGTGGAAGAGGATCCTGGCAGAACAAACCAGTAATGGAGCCAAGTCACCAGAGGACATGTGGGGACATGATGTGAACTACTAGGACCTGGCTAGGCTGTGGTCTGAAGGAACTGGTGAATGGACATGGGGAAACTCTGGATCTGCACTGCAACTTGCAATGACTGCTGGTAGGAATGGCAGGCATTCAGGGCATGGGCTGCGGAAAGAAGCATGATCTCCTGAGGAAAGGGCACAGTCTATTGCAGGAACTGTGCTCAAAGAGAGGAATTCTTATGTGATGTCAAATCCAGAATAATTGAAAACCACAATCTCAGAAACTGCCTTGGGCCCCTCTTGCCTCCCCATGTCCCTGGACATGTCACAGCTCCCTCTCCCCAGTCACAGGCACCTCCATGAACACATGTCATGGTATCTCTTGGATCCATGCGAAGCACCTGCCTGCCTCCACAGAGACTGCTCTAAGTCCATCTGTCTTTGCCCCTTTTCCTTCCCTTCCCTTCAGCACCTGAACAATAGCCTACATGTGATGAAATGGATGAAGAGGGGGGTGAACTTACCTTCATCTGAAAGTGAGAAGGGTATGGGGAGTAGCTGGGGTCTCCTGTGTCTCCTGTGTCACAAGACAAGAAGCGAGGGAAAGTTAATGAGTTAATGTTATATGGTAGCTTGGAAATAGCACATCAAGGGAGGTTCAAAGGGCCTACGGCTATGTTAGCAGCTGCTGCTAGACTGATCAAACTATGCATTATGCAGGCAGTAATGGGTTAAAATCCATAGGTGGGTGACTTATTAAATATTTCTGTAAGAAAGCAGGAATGAATGGTATTTTAAATAACAGGACATAGGTGGCCTTGGAGTTTAGACACCTCCTGTTACCACACAATTACTGTCATCATCACCAGCCAAATCCCTCCCACTTGCAAGCACAGGACCCCCTCTGTGGTATTCCCTGGGAGAGCGCAGCCTTTCTCAGCTATTCTTTTGCAAACTGGAGGTTTGACTCTACGGGACAAATGTGATCTCAGTAGCAGATCCATGGGGAGTACTGTCACATCTCCTACCCATAGATTTGGAAAGCCTCAACTGATGAAACATTTTTCTTTGTCGAAGTAGGTATGAGACTCATACAGAAAAGTAAGACCTCCTTGCCTCCTTTTTGGATGATGGGTTCATTTTTAAATGGATAATGGAAACCAGATCAGAACTAGAATAAATATTCGGCAAGGCATAATATAGAGAGGTCTGAAGAGCTAGAGCACTGCTGAGAGAAAAACAAAAAACTCCTGAATTATTACACAGATTTCCCAGACACAACAGAATCATAAAGAGTTATGTCTCAGCCCTGACTCACAGTAAGTCTTCTACTCAGTCACTCCTCCTACACATCTTTGGCTTTTGCATTGGTCCTTACTCTTTCCCTCTTGTCTGGAGATCCATTTTCACTTACATTTCTGAAGTCTCATCAGTACAAAACTTTTTCCTATCTCTAAATTATCCATCATCTTCAAATCTTTTCTTGTAATCCTCCTACCCCTTTTAACTCATGAGTGGTGCATGTGTGCTCAGGGTTGGGAGACAGTGGAGTTATTCATCATACCTTGCACAATTTCATCTTGGGTATAGGCACGGTTGTCCACTCCAGTTGACTGTTTTAAGAACTTGGGTTGGCAGAAGTCATTTTCTGGAGGGTAGTCCCCCAGCTTCAGAGGGGCAGTGAGGAAACAAATTTCAGGGACGATATACATTATCAGGAAGATCCATCCATTGGACACCAGAGCAATGGCCACAACAGGATCATCCCAGCTACGTTTCTTCAAAACTGTGTTGCCTTTCGTGAGCATAGTGATCCACACTACCCAAATGGCAATGGAGAACAGGACAGTGACAAATATGTGTGCCCCATGCCTCTTCCAGCTTTTGTATGACCCACAGAATGTGAACATGGAAACCAAGAAAGTCAGAGCCATCAAGAAGAGTACGTAGATCAAAAGCATGACAAAGTCCTTGTTGGTCTCCTCTGGAGGCATACTCAGAAATTTGTCTTTCTGGTTTACTAGCATGGTGACTAAGTATTCAATACTGATCACAACTTGTACCAGGGCAAAGGAAACAATGAGGAGCAGCAACACCAGCCAGGAGAAGGGCTTTCTTCCTCTCACTAGTTTGTTGAGGTTGCAGGCATGGGTGAGGAGGCACGAGAAGCAGAGAGCAAAGATGACTCCAAATAGGAAGAAGCGAGTAGGGTGAGTCCTGTCGTTGAGTTTAATGATGAAGGCAAAAGTGAGACCAAAAATACCAAGAGTGCCTAAGAGAAAGAAGAAATAGACTGAGACCATGTGCCGCTTGCTGTTGTCTTGGATTTTACAGATGAGAAAGAAGAGTGAGCAGATGAGGAAAATGGTGATGAGGACACCAGCTGCAGCCAGTGACTCCAGGACAATTCCCCAGGCCTTCTCCATGTCACAGAGCAGGTAATAGTCATCACTGATGCTGCCACAGCCTCGAGGAGGCGATGCCATCCTTTCGCCTTCTTGAACAACCTCCTGGTAAAATATTTCCCCAAAGCTGTAGAAGAAGAAAAGACACAGGCTGTCATATCAAGCACCTGGGTGCTGCCAGCAGTGGTGAAGAAGAGGCAGGACAGACCTCCATCCCCACCTCACGGGGCAAGGACACCACTGTGTTAAGGACATGGAGCTGTGGGTGCAGAGCCATCCCCTTGTTTGGCATTGGCTCTCTATCAAGGGCAAGCCAAGCCCCTCAGAAGGAGGCAATTCACCTTGCATGTCCTCTGCACCATGCCTGGGGTTGTGCAATGGCATGGAACCACTGGGAACGGGGAGAAAGCAAGGTGCTTTTGCGGGTATTAGCTTAGTGCCCTGCAGCACAGAGACTGGGCTGCCTTGTCACTTTTGTGATACAAGAGCAGCTGTTAGTCATAAAACAGTTTATACTCTTTTGACAAGTTCAGACAACATCAGTACGTTGTGCCAGTGAGGTTCAGAGATGAGCAATGCAGAACAGGAAACTCATTACTGTTTCTTTTCCCTCTTTTACTTTCTCTGAAACACTGTTGGCTTTGGCTTACGGGTATGAATGAAGGGAAACTTTAACTGCCTTTTACCCTGCAGATAACTAACCTGGATGGCTCCAGCATATCTCTTCTCACTCCAAATTAGATAGTAAATATAAGCCACCAATCACAAGTCCTAAACTCATATTCCTCCTTCTTCATGGCAGCACAGCAATAAGAACTGTCTCAAAGACAGTCCCCTCCCCAAAATATTGCGCTGGCATGAGGCCTGATATGTCAGAGCCAGTGCTGTTCACTGCATGGGAAGTAACCACCAAGTTACTGCTTGAGGAGTCCACGAGTCAAGGATGGCCAAGGTCTCCTGCGCACCCAGCACATTCCTGCTGTCTCATCATGAGTATTTCAGTGCTGTCTGAGTAAACCTGGCTTAAGCCCATCTCACCAGGGGATAAGTGGGTTATTTAGGTGAGTTCTGCCCATTGCAGAGGGGAATTAAGTTGCCTACTTCCTTGGGAGCCTGAAGCATGCGCAGAAACCACTGCCCAAAGATGCTGGGTACTTCATGGCCCCATTGTGCAGGCACTGAGAGAGTTTAGATCCCAGGAACCAGGTACTGCTTTCTAGGTACCGAATTGCTCAGCTAGGCTTGAGTCTCTAAAATCTATCAAAACAGAAGCTTAGATACAGTATCAGCATGAAGCATGGGGAATCTGGCCTTAATGGTGACCTGCACTGGAAAAACAAGGGCTTCCTTTTCTGATATATAAAGAAAAAAATGTTAGCCTTGCAAAATGTAGTCTTTAGCACTTGCCATGCCATTTGCCTTGATTTTTCCCCTCCAGAACAACATACTGCATTTATGAAGTTGGTTCTAAAACCCTTCAAACAGATTTTAGGGAGTGTACATTGAGTCTTCAATAAATAGCAGTTGATCTAATCAAGGGATGAATGAAGGGGCAAAATATCACCACTCACTCTCAGCCCCAAATATACCTCAATGTGACCTGCTTATAAATAGTGGAATATTTTTCCAGCTTTTAACCTCACTGAGTAAAAGGAGATGTGCAGCTCTTCAAAAAGTCAGCTACAACAAAATGCAAATTATTCAAATATGAAGGAACTCTGGACTCCCACGGAGAGAATGGAACTAGTGAATAACACATGTAGGAGTTTTCACAAATCATTGTTCATAAAATTTTGTGCATTTATGATCTCTTGCACAAATAGCTGAGAGTTATCTGGACATTTGTGAATAATAAATAATGAACCTTTCTGAAAATCTGGAGAGCAAATGCTACAATTCTATCCACAGACATTTACTGTTGATCAGATTAACTTGTCTATTCACAGCTCTGGCAGATACAGATTGGTGCTTGCTGTCAGGGCAGCTGGAGAGCCCAGAGAGACAGTGTGAGACCCCAGGGCAGCACAGAGCACACCCATAGCTTTGGGTCCTGGCTGGTGCTTACTGCAAGTGGCACTTGCCACAGCTGGCTGCCACAACGCTTGGAACAAATAAGATGGAAAGAAACTTGCTGCCCTGGAGAAGTGGGCCACTTGTCTGAATTTTACTCCCTTTTCTTTTTTTTTTTTTTTCCCAGGGTAGATGCCCTATGAGGCATGAAGAGTCTCTGCCCTGTCTCGTGGGTGAGTGTTGCCCCCCCAGAAGCCGTGTCTGCTCATCCAGCACCTACAAAATTGTCCGGGATTTCCAAGGGGCTCTGTGCAAGCGAGCCTGTGCTGTGGTAACTTCACAGCTCACCCCAAATCACAGCTTTCACTTTAGTGCTGAGTTTTCTCCCTCCAGCCTGGGCTGCCTCTCTCACTAATACTTGTGTATAAAATACACCCATCCAGCCAGAAATTTCAAATAATTTCCCAGGAAAGTCTGCCATAACTCCCTCAGATCCAGCTGGCAATCCCATGTTAGAGTCAAGGGTGGGAGGCATTCTCTGTTTGCCGTGGCATTCCACGCCCCTGCTCTCCCACCCCCCAGAGCCGTGGTTCTGCGGGCCATCCCACCCCAGCCGCAGAAAGCAGGTCCATGTTGGATCCTGTAGGACATTGCCTTGAATTACCTTTCTGGGTCCTGCCTGGAGAAGGTGACAGGGAGGCTCCGGCTAGAAGAGGCAAGTTTGCAGTGCACCAGTAACACAGTCACCTCCGCGTCTGTAACCCCAGCCGAGCAGCAGCCCCACGCTGGCCCTCCTTGGGAGCTTTAACAGCTGGAGGGCTGAGGAGGTGGGGCTGAGCACGCCTATTCCAGTTCCACCACCTCTCCTCTCCGACAGCACACAGCTATGAAAATACGGTCCCCGTGCCAGGAAATGAAGTAAGGCCTCCTGACGTCAGCAGGGCACTCACCCCTGCGTCGGGGTGGAGATGGAGCCACTGCCTGTCCCAGCCCTGGGACAGGATTGAATGCTGCTCGTCCAAGCACCTGATAAGGTGCTCCCCTGTCAGACTCCTGGCACCCGTGGGTGGGGATGGTGGCTATGAATAGCGGTGCATCCCCTCCCTGCCTCAAGACTGTTGTCTCTTTGCATGCTTTCTTGCCAGATAACTGCTTGCAAGGGAGGAAGACCTTGCAAGGAGGTTGTGGGATGCAAACGGGCCCACAGCACCTGGAGGGAGAGGGGCTGCAAGCCCGGCTCCAGAGACAGTTTCCTTGGGGCTCTTGCTGGGTTCTGCATCTGTGTGCAGGGACACGTCTGCTCCACTCATTCCTTCCACCTGTGCCAGTGAGAGCCATGAGCTCCTTCCCTGAAAAGGCAGTTTGCCTTTCCTGGTGTCTCACTCAGCCCAGCCCTGCTCTCCAAAGGCGTCCTTCTGTCAGCTCGCGAGCAGTGAGTCACTTTGTCCAAATTGCTGGCCCAGACGGTTAATGAATGAAGGCAATGACAAATTCCCCCTTGCTCTACATTGTGCCTCTGGCCTGACACAGCTATTGGCGCAACCCCATGCAAAGTCCTGGGTATCTCCAACATGTTCATGACTTCATCTCTTATTTTAAATATTACTCACTGGCAGTATTTTATTATTCTGATTAAGGAATTGTCATCAAGGCCTAGCTACACCAAACACTCAGTCCCTATACACAATCCCGGAACCTGGAAATCCTTCCCACCCCCTGGAGCTTGTGCTTCTTTCCAAAACTGGGGGAGCCCCTGTACATACTGAGATGCCCAGATTATATGTAGGTACCTAGATGTAGATGTCCACTATATGGACTTCATTTTAGTACATCAGCATAGACAAATATGTGCTGAAGTCTGACTGTCCATGGTTGTCTCATCTGCATGTTAATTTTGTTTGTTTGTTTGTTTTAGGGCCTCTGGCTTATTTCTGGGTGCTGATCCCTTTTGAATGTCACATGTAGAGACTGCCACAAAACACATACAAGAGTCCTCTCTTGCAGACCCACTAGAAGCACATGAGGGCCTGCAGGCATGAGTGGTTTACCAAGTGAAAGGCAACACTCAGTGCAGTCACTACAGGGTGGGCCATGCTGAGCCCTAGGACTGTTCCTCATGTCCTTCTTACTTTAATTTCACTGTGAAATCCTGAGGCTTCTTAGGAAAAGACATATCAGGTTTCTTTATATGAAACTAATCTTCACTTTAAAGTAGGTCCCAGGCTTAGTGAGCCAGCCGAGGACACAGCTGTGAAAATGAGAGGAGGAAAGAAGGAGTGATGGAGAGGAGTTTAGCACCAGCTCAGTGGGAGCCAACCTGTCTAGGAAGACATCCCAAGAAACTTTCAAAGGTCACTGGTCACTGCTAGCCTATTTGCATCTTGTCAGAGCATATTATGGACTGCCAGCTATTTCCCTACATTTACATAGACACACAAAACGCCATGGAAGGCAGCGTGTCAAGTTATATCAGGGGAAAAAAAGAAGAAAATATAAGAAGAGTAACACTGACATTATCTAGGAATGCCTGAGAAATCTTTGGGAGTCAGTCATCAAACACACCCTCTACTTTCAAAAGACTAATATACGGGGCTGCATTTTAAAAAAGAAAACATCTTAAGTGACTTAGGAGCCCAAATGCTGCTGACTTATGGCAGGTAGCCTGAGAAATGGTGTCCATGGCCCTCATGATGTTCCAAGGACAGTGGATAAGCACTGTTGGTCTACATGGGTGAGTACAAGTGGCACAACGATCACACCAGAAAAGTGAGATGACTGTCACCTTGCTTTAGGGATGGGATGCAACTTGCAGAAGATAGAGGCACATAAATGTAGATGTCTGATGGTTATTACCTAAATGTGAGCTGAAAGTCTCAGCTCCCAAACAGCCAAAAAGCCAGAAGGACTGTCCCAGCAGATTGGATGCAGGTACCAATTTCTGTGTACACTGAAATGCTCCCATCTGTGGTAGGCTGGATTGCCTGGGGCCTCACCTTAGTTACTTGCACATTGGCATAGAGTGTCATTTGAGATGCCACAGGGTAACCTGCTCAGCTTCCAGGGGCCATTCCAGGAGCACGTTGGTCTCCCTTACCTCCTGTATCAGATATGGCAGTCATGTGCAGATCTTTGGATACCCTTAGGCACATCACATCACCTTTGTAAGAGCAAATGGATTGAGTGCTGAATCTCCACTGACTATTTCAGAGCTGAGGTGCCCAGCTCATATGTAGGTACCTAGATGTAGACATCCACCATATGAATTTGCATTCTGGTGCATCAGCATAGACAAACAGTTTGTTGAAGGTACTGTAGCTCAGTCACCTGTAACTCAGTCACCAGCACAGGGATGGCATATAGCTGTGGGGAATTACCCTTCTGTAACATCAGCTCACACTGAATAACCCAGGGGATCTCAGATGGTCTTGGCAACAGTGTCTGAGCAATTAAATTGACTTATATGTGTCTACAGAGCAAACTTCTTCATCAGAGGCAGTCATCCAGATTTCCACTATAGTTGGTAGAGAGAAAGAGGCACTTCCAGGGGAGTTTCAGTTGACTTGCTTCACAACAAACCAAATCACACCTGAGAAGTATATGTTTTTCTCCAAGAGAAGTTAAAGGAGCCAAAATAGTTAACTCAGATACAGACCTCTATACTTGTCAGCTGAACTGCATAGCAAGCCTCCAAAATAATTTCAACACAGTCCAGTAGCAAAGTGCTGGTGAAGTTGGAAGTTCCTTTGGGTGGAAGGTTGTTGGTAGCAAAACAGTTTGCTTTAACCATACCACAGCCCTGGACAAGCAAACAGGCTACTGGTGAATGGGAAGGAGCAGTTGTTATGGCTGACAAGGAGAGGCAGGGACGGCAGCAGGGACTGACCCCTTTGGGCAGCAGGCACCCACATCTCCCCTTCCAGTCCTTGGGGAGCAGGATGAGGTGAAGGACAAGGGCTGGGGTCTCCCTCTGCGTCAGCTCTGGTCCTTTCCCTTTCTCACTGCTGGCATTGCCTGGCCCTGCTCCCTCCAGTGGGGTGCCAATGGCCAGTGCTGCCCTGGGCCAGCCCTGCTCCACCAGCTTCAGCGTCACAGGGCTGAGCTGCCAGCAAAGGGCAGAGTGCTGCAGCCTCTCTCATCTCAGCCAGGTCTGGGAGAGAAAGCATGTCTGGGAGGTTCAAGGGCTGAGTATCTTTTATTAAGCCAAGTGATAAAGCAAGTAGATGCCTAGGGAGAGATGATGGTTGGCGGTCTGGAATGTGTCTAAATAACATTTTTATTTTTGGTCACTGATACTGGCTGCGTTGCGAATATGCTTGTGTCATTCCTTCTGCTTAGCTACCTGTGCAGTAGATTGACAACACAAGAACAGCCTCTCTCCCTGAAAAAATCCCCCCTGCCAGCACTTACCATAGTCATACTGAGCTAACATTACAGCAGCCTCCACCCTGTCCGGCCTCATCCACTTCCTTCGTCTTTAAATCAGTTCAGGTATAAACGTTATGACACCCTTGGAAACAGCCTGGCACAGAGGTGACAGGTCTTCAGGCCAGGCAGCCAATTCAGAGCACTCTTCCTTAGACAGGAGCAAAGACAAGGGTAGGGGGTGTCATTTCTGGAAAGGGACACATGGCACCTCTGCATAACACTGCATTTTCTTCTGAGGGTCCTGTCTTTGAATGCCTTGTGCTCTAGCTCTGACATCATGTATCCAAGAATTACCCAAAGCCCTGTCCTAATTGAATCCTTTTCCTTTAGAAATTAAAAGTGTGGCACCAAAGAAGTAAATGTTATCTAAAGAAAATTGCTAAAGAAACTCATACTGGTATCCTTCAGAGCTGTTAATTGTCTCTGCAGCTATCAGCTCTTCCAAACTGCACATTGTGCTCCCTGTCATTTTCAGTCCCAAGAACAAAGTAAACATTTCTAGTATGTAACAATGAAGTGCTCTGCTTTGCTTTGAGTGTTGATTGCTGCCTCCTCTCAAAGAAGCTCCCTTCTTTAAATAAGTAGGTTTTGGCCAACCCCTTTCCTTTCCTGGCTCCTAAATACCCAGATTCCTGGTACAGGATGTTCATTTACTGGGAGAGGGAGAGATCTGATCAAGAAAAGGGCAAGGAGACTTGTTAAAATATGGAAATCAGTGCTATTGAGTATGTCCTATAAACAAAAACTTTCAAACCTGTGAATTATCTGCCAGAGCATCCCTAACTTGTGAGAAGACTCTGCTTCTGGAAATATAATGGAAGTGAACTGCCTGGTCCTCCACTAGGAACATAACGCTCTGCTGTGATGCAGACAGGATCACTTCTGTATGCAGTCCCAGGTACGGCCAGCACAGTACCTGGAAACCCAGGGGTAGGGGTGGATCCTGGAGCACCCACCAAAACTGTAGTGACTTCACGCCTTAAGCTTGTTCCTATCTCACAGGGGCAGGTGTCGCACTGTCTTTTGTGCTTCACAAGTGTGGAAGCCAGAGCAAGAACAGGCAGAAATAAGTGGAGAGCAGCTAAGAGCACCTCTGGTTGTGATCACTTTGGCTAGCAAGAGCCTTCTCATACAGCAGAGCTGGTCCTCTTGAAGGCTGTGAGCAAGTTAAAAAAAAAAAAAATGAGATTTATCACCTCCTTTAGGACTGTCAACAGCATGCTGATAAACATTTCACTCACAACAATTGAGCCATTCCTCTAGATGTAGTTTCCTGGAGGTATCCTGTGCCCATCCACTTACCAGAGCAGCTAAGAATGCTCCAGTCATCCTTTATGGCATTAACCTCACCTACTTTTGTGCTGATGTATTCCCAAAACAGCAAGTTGCACTGACATGGATGAGTAGGTATTGTATACAGACAGA